GGAGCGTGCATGTGGGGGTGGTGGGAGATTTGTCTCCACAACCCAGTCCTGTTAAGGCCACGGCCCAATACCGGACCATGGATCTGGGGTTGGTGACCCCAAGTGTAGTGGACAGAGTGCGAGATCAGGACTCAGGAGAACGGGGTTCAAATCCCTGCTTGGCCATAGAAACTCACTAGGGGATATCAGAGAAAAAAAGCCCCTCATTGAACATCTAAGGTAACATAAGTCAGAGGTTATTACCTAGAAAGACCAATATAGCTTGGGTCCAGGCTACCTGAACGATCGTATCTTCCCATATGATCCTTCTAGGCGTTTAAGATCATCAGAGGAGGCCCTCCTCTTGGTCCCATTGCCAACGGAGGCACTGTTGATGGGACCATGAGACAGGGCCTTCTCGGTGGCAGCTTCCAGATTATGGGATGCTCTCCCTTAGTTGGTCAGGCTGCTCCCTCCCCTTTTATCCTTCCACCAACAGCTGAAGACCCACCTTTACCAGCCAGGCTTTTGACCATCATAAATGAGTCCCTGAATGCCTTTTAAAAGTTAAGATAGTTTTAAATCTTTACTTGATTTTAATTATTCAACTGTATTTTAATTTCTACATAGTTTAATTGTTTTTTAAAAATATTTTTAATTCTGTTCTTTTTAATATTGTGAGCTGCCTTGGGTTCCCTTATTGGGAGAAAGGTGGCCTATAAATAAATCAAACAAATAATAAATAAATGCATGTGATGGCACATAACAACAGCAAAGGATTTAAACCCTCATGGTTTCAGTGTGTTCCCCCTTTTGCTGATTTCAGGGGAGGTGGGAAGACTCATCTCTTCCAACTGGTCTTCTCACCTGTTTGGTTAACTACTGGAATTATCTTTTGCTTTATTGTGTTTTACTGATTAATATAATAATATTGGCTGGATTCCTTGAATGCTGTTGTTTTTAGAGGAAAGACAGGATATATTATAGGTATATGGGCAGGTAGCAGTGGTGAACCTACATTTTGGGGACCCTGAAGCTTCAACTGTTATGGGGGGGCCTTTGCAACCAGCTGTGAGGTCTGGGTAACCACTGATATCTTCTTCAATGGGGTTGCTCCACTGCAGATCACCAATTTTTTTAAATTGGACTAAAGTAGCCTCTGGGGCCCCTCTGGGATTAAAGGCTCTGAAGCTTAAATGTCATTAATTTCATTGGTGATCCACGCTGGTAGGTAGACAGATTTCTAGATAACTAGTTGTAACACCTTTGTAGTGTGTTCTTTTAAGCAAATAGAACACAATTCATGTCCGGGGCCTATTACTCATGCGCGCACTCGTCTTCTGCTATCGGGCAACTGACACCTTCACTTCCTCCCATTTCTGATACTTGACCTAACTTCTGGACATTGGTGATTGCAATTTTGAAAATGGGTTGTTTTAAAAGAAAGCCCATAATCCTTCAGGTGCTCCATTGGGTGTCTGCCACCTAGTGGCCATCAGGGAGGACAGCACTTCCTGTTGGACTACGCTGCAGTTCCTGTTATGTCATTGGCGTAGTCCCCATGTTGGAGCTTGGAGCAAAGTTGCATTGGCAAGTGGAGGCAAGGTGGAAAGGAAGAAGCGGAAAGAATGATGTGCAGAATACAGCAAACAGAAAAGTCAACTCAACAGGATCAAAGAATTGAACAAGTATACCAAGAAATGCCAAATCCAGTTGGATACAAATTCAATTCTTAAAAAAAAATTATCCTCTGATTTATGAACGTGGGATATTGTGCTTCTGTATCCATGCTTCTGGTGCTGGAGGAGACTCTTGAGAGTCCCCTGGACTGCAAGGAGAACAAACCTATCCATTCTGAAGGAAATCAACCCTGAGTGTTCACTGGAAGGACAGATCCTGAAGCTGAGGCTCCAATACTTTGGCCATCTCATGAGAAGACTCCCTGGAAAAGACCCTGATGTTGGGAAAATGTTAAGGCAAGAGGAGAAGGGGAGGACAGAGGATGAGATGGTTGGACAGTGTCATCGAAGCGACCAACATGAATTTGACCCAACTCTGGGAGGCAGTGGAAGACCGGAGGGCTTGGCGTGCTCTGGTCCACGGGGTCACGAAGAGTCGGACACGACTAAACGACTAAACAATAACATCCATGACTGAAAATAAATAAAATAAGGAAATGGCCAGATACAACTTCACAGTATCGTGTCTGTGTTGCCAGCAGGAAAAAGGCTTCCAAGCTTTCAACAGCAAAGTTCAGAACTGAACATTGATAAGTACCAGTGGCAGCTGGACTACGGGAGATCCTCTTCTGCTCACCGCCATTGGTAAAGGGATCTTACTCTGAACATTGATAAGTACCAGTGGCAGCTGGTCTACGGGAGATCCTCTTCTGCTCACTGCCATTTGTAAAGGGATCTTACTCTTTTATCCGTTAACCACTTCTCACCCAAATGTAAAGCAACAGTCAGAGCTGATTAACCACTTCTCACCCAAATGCAAAGCAAAGGGCTGGTTGCTGATTTGCCCCGTGGCACAATTTCTCGTGCAACAAGAACAGCGTTTGCACATCCCGCTTATGGGTTAAATGAGACCCTGTTCAAATCAGACTTCTGTCAGATCTCAAGCAGGGCTTGGAAAATTGACATTGTGGACTACAACTCCCCGAATCCCCCTCCCCACCGATCTGGCCATCGGCCAGACTTCCTAGGCAATTCTGGGCGTCGTAGTGCAAGAGAAGAGAGAACTTTTGAAGCTCCTCAAACTTGGTTTAACTTGTCAAAGCAATTCTTTTATCTTCAAGGTCTCAAGGGGGTTCGCAACTCCCATGGGGATGCGTTTGGCTTGCTTTCTAACGAGGATCACATCCTCGGTCGCTTCGAGCCGTAGAGCATCAGAACTTTCCCAGGGAGATCACGCTTCCCTGCGTCTTTCATGGGCCGCTTTCAGGGTGAGAAAGGGGTCTCTCTCTCTCTCTCTTTTTGCTTATGAAATAAAATAAAGAGAGATGGGAGAGGGGAGTTTGGCTTCTCCCTTCTATGGGACAGGAGCACAAAGGGGCAAAGACAAAGCGCTCCGATGCCTGGCAAAAGAAATTACAGGCACAATGTGGGGAAAGATGCCAGGACAGAGCCCCCCCCCCCTTATCCACTCAAGGCTCAGCATCTGATCTCCTGGATAAAGAGCAGAATTCTTCCACAATAAAGTCTCCCTGGGGAATCTGCAAAGATCCGGTAGCAGGGCACATAATCTGCTTTCTAAAAACCTGCCGCTGAAAAGTGCTTAGTTCTCATCCGTGCAGTTCTGTTTTTCCTTTCGACCAACAGATTCCTCTTCAGGCCAGGCTTTTTTTTTTTGAGGGGGGAGGTGAGAATGATTTTCTGGACTACAACTCCCCAAACCCCTCTGCCAGCATGGTTTAAATGCCGCAGAATTCTGGGACGGACCATACTGTTGGGAGAGCTTTTGAATATCTGGTGAAATTCCTCTAGCTGAAGGGCAGGGATTCAGAGTGCGGAATAGTTTTAAGTTCCCAAGAGTCGTCCACTCCTTTTTCTCAGTAACGGGCAGTTCCGTACTAACCTATGTATTGTAGCCCATGAGAAAACATCATTGGGTTGAGCAGAGGTGATTAAAGGCTCTAACGGAGGAACTGCATGCAATCAATGGCTATTTGTTGGATGTGTTCAAGGAGGCTGTTCCAAATGGCTTATTTTATAGAACATCCTTCTGTGGTTTACAGTATGAAACCATGCATGGTTTATACTTTTCTGTTTCCACTGATTCGATGGGCCTAGGCTAGTGTCTGCTACATGAAGCATCAAGATTTCAGCCAGGAAATTAAATGGTTTCCTGCCACTTGTCCTTTCTTCGTATTCACTCGGCTAAGTTTCATCCTTGGTCAGTTTTTCTGTGAAAAGCTATAAATGTTGACATTGTAATCATGGTCTTTCCCCCCTGCAAACTTGACAGCTAAGCTACTGCAATCAGTAGAGCGCTAGCATTGACTACTAGACGCAGAAAGACAGCGTTGCTGACATTGCTCATGGTCCTTCTGCCATCCGGGTGCAACATTTCCCCATCTGAATCACATAGGGTTTTATCTGAATCACAACAGCCGATCTGCCTTTCCCACCTTACTGGGAAAGGGGAGCTGGAGCTGGTAAAGGACTGTGGTATTGGTGTGGTGTAGTGGATAGAGTGGCAGACTAGGAGACCTGGGTTCGAATCTCCTCTCAGCCACGGAAACTCACTGGGGGAGTGGAACTGGTTAAACCAATCCTTAAACATCTCACATGCCTTGAAAGCCCTGTCAGAGTCATCATCATCATCACTGAACTACAGAGCTGGAAGGGATCCTATAGATCATCAAGTCCAGCCGTTGTCAAAGAGGCACTGTAGGGAATCGAACTCCCAACCTCTGGCTCCATAGAGACCTAAACTACTGAAATACCCAGCAGTTAATAATAATCTTAAAACTGCAAAGCTGGAAGGGACCCTGTGGATGATGGAATCCCCACCCCCTCTTAAGGAGGTTGCTAAAAGTGCAAGGACCACAATCTGAACTGCACTCAAAATAATGGGTTTGGAAGCCTTAGCATTTCCGTTCCTCTTTTTTTTTAAATTAAGGATTTAGCAACCTTTTGCAAAGGTCTCGACCTTTAAGCCGAAAAGAAGCAGCAATTTAGCAATACTATGGGTGGTCCCCACCTGAGTAGATCCATTGAATCAGTGAGAATTTAGTAGTCCAACATTGAATGTATGTTCCATTGATACGAGCCAACATCCTTAAGAGTGAATATTGGATTTAAGCCAGTGGAGTCCAGGAGAAATCAAGATGGCCAATTGTCCATCCAGGTCCAGAACTTTGAGCGCTGAGCTCTTACAAGTGGGGTTTTGTGTATTCGTCCATGTTTGTGGTGGTGAATCAAGGTGGCCACTTCGCATCCTTTGAGACGCTCCTCATCCTTCGGTTAGGACAAGCCAGGCAAATTTGGTTGGGCAAAAGGCCTGTTTTCTGCTCCAGGATTCTCTGAAGGTCACAAAAACCATCCAAAATGGGAAAGGAGACCGAGAAGAGGGATGCAGCTAAAAGTCCTACTTTTTGTGTGTGAGAGGGGGGGAAAGGATTTTGGAGTATTAAATGATGCAGTCTGTCCTTTGATCTATTAAAAAGGCAAGTCACAACTCCTGGAAGTCTTCAGTAGTTGCAATTCTCTCTTTTACACTGGAGAAAAATGGATTTTAGAAGGCAGAAGGCTGCAAAGAAAGTGCTGTATGGTTGCATGAAAACCCACCCCAACATACAGATGTTTTTTCATTTTTGCAACCTTGCAGGCTGCCTTTAATAGATTCTGCTGGGAGGGACCTTTGTGGGCTCAGGTGACCATCAATCTATCCAGACCAGAGCCAGCTAATATGTCCTTCCTGCCTCTGATTTCAAAGAAAGTCCCGCCTCTCTAATCAGTGTTTTCCCCACCTCTCTAGAGACTGTTTGAAGACTGTTGCTGAAAGCAGTCATGTCGTTAAGCTTGCTGTTTGATGTTCAATGTAAGCAATTAAACCTTTTCTTCTTTCTCCTATTCATATCTTAGAGTGAGTTATTGAAATTCCAAGTGTCAGTTGATGAGGAAAAGGGATGGATTAATCCGGGGAACCTGAAATGGTTCTCCTCTGTGAATCCCTGCATTTCTGCTGTGCAGCTAGAGGAATTTAACTAGAATTTTTTTAAAAAAAAACCCTCTAATGGCCAGAGTGCGACTTAGACACGGAACGCTGTTACCTTCCCACCGAGGTGGTCCCTATTTATCTACTTGCATTTGCATGCTTTCGAACCGCTAGGTTGGCGGGAGCTGGGACAGGCGACGGGAGCTCACTCCGTCGCGTGGATTCGATCTCACGACTGCTTGGTCTTCTGACCTTGCAGCACAGAGGCTTCTCGGTTTAGCCCGCAGCGCCACCAAAGGGATGGATTAATCCGGGGAACCTGAGATGGTTCTGCCCTGTGAATCCCTGCATTTCTGCTGTGCAGCTAGAGGAATTTAACTAGAATTAAAAAAAAAATAAACCCTCTGTAATCGTATGATCCTCTCTATTTTGGAAACAGCGCTCCCTAGCAAATCCGCCAGGAGACATTTTCTCTTTATTTACAGAGAGAAGCTCCATCTCCTCTTCTCTTCTACACAACCACAGAAGAGAAAGCCCTGGATGTGTCAAAAAGGGTGGGTGGGTTGTAGGGTCAAGAACAGTCCGAACCTCTTTGAAATGCATGTCATTTTTATTAGTACCTCCTGCTGAAGGTTGTTTTAAAATTTTGGTTAAAAAGACTGGAAAAAGTAGCGACCAGGAAGAAAGAAGAGGGGGAATATAGGATGAGATGTTTAGATTGTGGCCTTTTTGAGGACAGAGACCTATTTGCTTTTCCAGGGGAGGTCCCCCTATGGCACTGTGTATGTACAGAAGCAAAGGAAAGAGGTGAAAGATTGCCTTGAAGCTCAACAAAACTAAAGGGGCAGGCAGGGGAATTGATCATTTCTGCATCTAATGGTAATAATTAGCAGTGGGATTATAATGGTAATAATGGCAATGGAAGACAGGAGTCCTCTGATCCATGGGGCCACAAAGAGTCGGACACGACTAAACAACTAAACAAATGGTAATAAGTGAGAGATGAGCAGGAGGAGGAAGAGAATGAACACAATGATGATGGTGGTGGTGGTGTAGAAGAATAAATCAATGTATTTACCTTGCTCCAAGTCACCACCGTGCCATTCCAGAGAAGGGTCAGCCAAGAAGACACAAACAGACCCTGTAGTATAACTGATGCGGCTTATAAATGCCTTCCTACCTGGGTCAACGGTGGCCAAGCCACAAGGTGGCATTTTAATCATTTCATTTTTATTGAATTTTTAATTGAATTTTAATTGTTGTAAGCCGCCCAGAGACCTTTGGGCAGAGTGGGCGAAATAAATAAATAAATAAAAGTGCCCCCAGAAGGACAGACTGGAGAACCACGAATGAGTCGTTGAACATTTGAGGCTTTCTTGGCAGTTGCCTGAGTCTCATTTTGATGAGATTTTTAAGCAAGAATTTCCCCTCTTATTAGTAGGATTTTCTAGCTTCCCGCAAAATCCCCCATGTCGTTTTTCCCGGTGTTTTTATTTTAATTTTTCACCTGTGCTTTTGTGTCATAAACTCCTATATTCTGGACAACTCAAGAAGATCTTTTGGAGGTAAAATGCCTCCAGAATTGTCATCGTTTCCTGCAGATTCGTGTTTGTTCTGGGGGGCGGGGAGAGAATGTCCACAAAACATGCAAGAAATCCCACAAGGTTTCCTGTGATGTCTCTTGGAGGGGAATCTTTGCTATAGCAAAAATAAAATTCCTTCCCCTTATTACTTCTTGCTGAAAGGCAGAAGCTGCGGGGGCCACACCCCTCTTTTATCTCTAGAAAAACCCTGGGAGGTTTGCTGTACATCAGAGACAAGCAATTATTATTTATCAATGGTCTACTTCAAAAATATATCATTTAAAATGGCAGCTTAAAAATCTCTAGCAATCACAAAGTGCGTGTGTCTAATCGCACAAATTACACGTACCTAGAATGGCAGATTGCCCTGCCTTACTAAATTATCAACGACCATCAGTCAAAGATTTATCAGTTATTGAACGTCCTTAATAAATGAATCCCACCCACCCCCTGTTTTCATTCTCCTGGGGTCTAGACATGCACTTGCTTGAGAGTAGCCCCTCTGAACTTGGAAGAGCGCAAGAACCACAGTTCTTGGGTTTCTGTGAATAAAACAGCATTAAAGACCGGCCTGACCCCACTTACCAGTTCATTCCTAAGCCAATGTAAAGCTTCATCAATGTTTCCGAAATGACCGATTTTTTCCGGGGCCAGCACCACTTGCGGTTTGGAAGAGCCTCCGTTGATACGATGAACTTGTGCATCTCTCAAGGGAAGACTTTCCTGTTTCTTTGGTTTCTCGTGGCGGCCGTCCTCTTCCCTCTCCGGAGTTTGCGGGTGGCTCTTCCATGTCAACCCTTCCAGTTGGGCCTTCCATTCTAAATAAGATGGTCTCCTTGTTTCCAATCTCAGTTTCTGGGTCAACGCTTTGAGGTTCCTCAGATGGTCATCAGAAGGCGGACTGCCCTCAACCTCCGCATCTCCATGGTCCAGATTTCCTTCTACCTGGATTTTTGGTACGGACATCTTAACCTCTGATGGAAAGTCCTCAACATCGGTTGAAGACTTGACGGGTCGGGTCCAAGAGATGCAGGCGATGACCGCATCCACTTAAGGATTTCCCAGTCCTCCGTTTCTTGACTGAAGAAACAAACCCCTCCGGGCTTCGCCACTCACTTCAAGACACTCCTTTCCGAATTATGGGAAGCCATCTGAGCACAGAGAGAGAGAGACAAAGACCTGTTATTTGTTTCTTCTTTTCAGCTGGGAATTGTCAAGGGAAAAAAAAGGAACGAGAGCCAGCGAGCAACCAGAACTTCCTTATATGACTTGACTTTGAGGAAAGCGGAACGTGAACTCTTCAGAACTTAAATCATCTGGATGAGAGCCTTCGCCGGGGCTGTCTGGCGGTGTTCGAGGGCATGAGCAAACAAGCTTGCTTGCTCTCAGGAGGAACGTTTGGCTATGGGGAGACCTGTCAGGCGCGGCGCCTCAAGCTATGGAGTGGATTACTGATGATGAGGTCAGAGAAGGGAGAGAAAAAAAAGGAGAGGAGAAATATTATCGGTAGTACAGAGGATTACACAACTAATAAAACCTGATCTTCTTACCGCACACAACACGTTCTCAGTTTTCTACCACCGGTTCTCAGGATAAAGGGAGGCAGGAAAGTACGGATGGAATGATAGTGAAAAACGGTATCGTTCAGCTCACCCACGGGAGCTGTTTTCACATGCAGGTACAACACCCAATGGCTCTGCCCTTCATAACTCAGAGGTTGATGTGTCAAATGGGCTAAGGGCCAAATTAGACATTATAAGACCGAAGCATAGAACATGCTTCCGGTGTTTATTGAAACCGATAAATAGTTAGGCCTCACCTTGAGCGTAAGGGCCAAATTAGACATTATAAGACCGAGGCATAGAACATGCTTTCCGGTGTTTATTGAAACTGATAAATAGTTAGGCCTCACCTTGAGCGTTGTGTCCAATTCTGGACACTACACTTCAAGAAGGATGCTGACAAACGCAAACAAGTTCAGAAGAGGGTGACAGGGAGGATAAGGGGGCTCCCCTCGGAGGAAAGGCTGAAAGAACTGGGCATGTTTAGCCTTGAGAAAAGGACACTGAGGGGAAATAGGAGAGCACTTGCCAAAGACTAGAAAGGAGGGGCAGGATCTGTTCTTGGTCATCCCAGAGTGCCGGACATGCAGCAATAGGCCAGATTTTGGTTGAAAATCAATAAAATCAATAAGCAATAGGCCAGATTTTGGTTGAAAATCAAGTAAAATCAATCAAATATCAGGAAAAAAGCATCTTAACTGTTAGAGCAGTGTGACAATGGAACCAAAGACCTTGGGAGATGGTGAGCACTCCAACGCTGGAGGCATTCAAGAGACAATTGGGCCACCCCGTCCAGTGCTGGAGGCATTCAAGAGAAAATCCGGCCACCCCCTGCCAGATATCCTTTCATTTGTCTTCCTGTATTGAGCAGGGGGTTGGAGACCATGGCCTTCTAAGCCCCTTCCAACTCAATTATTCTGGGATCCTGTAACTTGGAGGGGAAATCCTGTCATTTGTGGTAGAGGAGCAGACGGAGAAATATTTTCCCTGACAGATTTTTTTCCCCACTCAAAAGAGAGCCCATCCCGCAGTTTTTGTGTTTTGGAGTATCAGGTGGCAGAGAGGGAATTCCTTCAGCTTTTTTGAGGGGTGGGCATTGAAGCAACGGCTGTTTGAGATTTAAACATAGAGAGATCTAAACATAGTTATCTCTCAGAAATTACTATCTGGCACAGCTAGTGAGAACGATGCTCTAAAACCAAGGAACATTTTAAAGTTATTTTTAACATTTTTCTGGCGACACTGGGGGCATTTCAGAAACATCTTGAAAGGACGGCCATTCTGTAATGACTCCTAAGTATTCCCCTCACATTATCAGCAAAATAACATTGTACTACTCTGTTAGGAAGTTTTTTCCCCCCTGATATTCATCCAAAATCCGGCTTTTTGTAGCTTAAGCTTATTATTGCTTGTCCTGCACTCTGGGATGGTCGAGAACAGATCCTGCCCCCACCTTCTAGATGACAGCCTTTCAAGGATTTGAAAAGTACTCTCCTATCTCCCCTCAGTCTTCTTTGCTCAAGTAAATATCAATGGAAATGATTGAGGAGGCAGATTTAAGGAAAGCCTTGACATTTTTATGTTTATCACAAATATGGGTCAAATTCATGTTGGTTGCTTCAATGACCCTGTCCATCCATCTTGTCCTCTGTCGTCCCCCTTCTCCTCTTGCCTTCACACTTTCCCAACATCAGGGTCTTTTCCAGGGAGTCTTCTCTTCTCATGAGATGGCCAAAGTCTTCGAGCCTCAGCTTCAGGATCTGTCCTTCCAGGGAGCACTCAGGGTTGACTTCCTTCAGAATCGATAGGTTTGTTCTCCTTGCAGTCCAGGGGACTCTCACGAGTCTCCTCCAGTACCACAGTTCAAAAGCATCCATTCTTCGGTGGTCAGCCTTCTTTATGGCCCAGCTCTCACTTCCATACATCACTATTGGAAAAACTATAGCTTTGACTATGCGGACCTTTGTCGGCAAGGTGATGTCTCTGCTTTTTAAGATGCTGTCTAGGTTTGTCATCGCCTTCCTTCCAAGAAGCAGGCGTTTTTTAAATTTTGTGGCTTAATTAACAGTGTCTCCAACATACAGGCTCTCCGTCAGCTGGTCCATGATTGGAGAACATCGGTCAGTATGTAAGCTAAACAGAAGAGGAGGATTGATCAAAGAAAGCCAAATTCAAATCTCAACTACCCTATGGTTCTAAAAGAAGAGAAAAGAGCCCTTTGGGAACGTTCAGATGGCGATTTATCTTGAGTTTTGGAAAACCTTTGGCTCAGTTCAGTTTTATTTGTTTTACGGTGAATATACAACGTACTGGACGGTCATGAACCAGCCTAATTCTTTTCCCGCCAGCATCCACACCTCAGTGGCAGGGCCTCGTGTTTCTTTAGCACAGGTAGGACTCTCTCGATTTTAGTTTGATTTCTAGACAATATCAAGCACTGGAGAGGGTTTCTATGCTCCTTGAAGGTTACGCCACTTCCAAACCAACTGAAGTGTTCTGCCATTTCCTGATTATTTATTTTTATTTTTTTTTAAGCAAAATCCACCTGCCCCAAACTCTCCCACAGGGGGAGACAAGAGATGTTTTCATATTTCCAGTCCCCGCGGATGGGTGTGAAAGCGAGATAGTGAAGAAAGTTGACAGGGGGAAAACAAAAATATGGATGAGTCAGAAATGTGGTGCTGGAGGAGAGATTTGCAGATACCCTGGACAAGACAAACAAGGGGATCCTCGATCAAATCGAGGCCAAACAATCTCCGGAGGCAAAAAATGTTGAACCTGAAGCTGCCCTATTTTGAGCATATTGTGAGGAGGCAGGATTCCCTGGGGAATCTCATAATGCTGGGAGTGGTGGAAGGCAGCAGGAAAAGAGGAAGACAAAAATACAAGATGGACCGACTCCCTAAAGGAAGCCACAGGCTTGAGTCTACAAGATCTGAGCTGTTGAGTACAGGGACCTTTTGTAGAGCGCTGATGTGTTGTTGTGAACCAACCGGAGAGTGTGTGTGTGCAGTATGGGGCGGTATACACTTTGAAGCAATAAAGAAATAAGCGAGTGAGCGAGCACACACGATGCATGCACGCGTGCACACATGAGCAAGCAAGGCAGCCCGGTCAATAAATGATCTTTCAAAGACACGTTTTTAGGTCCGAGGGCAAATTCACACGCGTTTTGAGTCTCTTCTCTTTTCTCTCTCTCTCTCTCTCTAAGGAGAACAACAGCAAAGCAAAATCACTTTCTGGCCTACGTGGGGGAACGTTGCCAAGAATTAATTCTTGCAAAATCACCGCGCCGGTGCTTTAAGGTGTAATATGAGTAATTGGCTAATTCGTCAGCCTGCAAACGCTTCTCTGGGCTCTAGTTATACCAACCCGAAGCCTGTAATTATTCCGGGAGAAACTTTTATGGAAAGAACGCCACTGAATCTTTATAGGGAATCGAGGCCTGTTTCCCACTTATAGCCACTATTGCCTTTCAGCCAGTGACCTTACTGGGGTATTGAATTTTCTTTTTTTCTTTTCTTGAAGGTCACAAGCTATTCTGCAACCCTGCAAATGTTTTTGGCTTAGATTTCCCCCTTTCCAGGTGCATCCATTTATATATAAAAGGACCTTCAAATACTAAAAACAGGAAACAAGGGGGTGGGGTGCAGAGTACAACAAAGTAAATAATTTTTAATTAATTTGTGTAAATTCTTGGGGGGGGTGTTGTTTGTTTTCTAACAAGTTCCATTCTGAATTCACGTACGTCTCTCTGCTGTTTGCCTATTGTTTTCGTTTTTATTTGTCATTTTATTGTGCTTCATGTTACTGTACATTCAGAGAGCACGTTGTCTAGGATCCCTTTTCTGAATTTTTGTTTGTATTTATTCCTCTATCATACTGTTATTTTTATAGTGGCTCTGCTACTAGTTGGGTGAGGTTGAAAAAGAAATAAAGCAAAATAAAATAAAACTGATAAAAGAAGGGTAGTGAGAAAGGGTATCCTTCTCCAGGCAAGAAAAAATGGAAACAGGATGGTCCTTGAGGGAAACACTACTGTATTTGGTTTGCACTTTTTAATTTATCAATGTTGTCTTAATTAGTTTATTGTTTCTGTCTGGCTGTTGTAAACCGCGCAGAGTGACCTTGGCTGCCAGATGGGAGGTATGTCAATCAATCAATCAATCAATCAATCAATCAATCAATCAATCAATCAATCAAACAAACAAACAAACAAACAAACAAACAAACAAACAAACACACAAACACACACACAAACACACAAACACACAAACAAACTTATACTGTGTCCAGATCTTCACATGTATGGATAAAAAGAACAGAGGCTCTCTTGTTTCTATTAAACACAGACGTATCCCACCACTAGGGGGAACGTGGTGGCGCTGCGGGTTAAACCGCAGAAGCCTCTGTGCTGCAAGGTCAGAAGACCAGCCGTCATGAGATCGAATCCACACGGCGGAGAGAGCTCCTGTCGCTTGTCCCAGCTCCTGCCAACCTAGCGGTTCGAAATCATGTACGTGCGAGTTGATAAATAGGTACCACCTTGGTGGGCAGGTCACGGCATTCTGTGTCTAGTCGTGCTGGCC